ATGTTTGATAAACAGCAAATGTTTTCAAGAGAAGTTTGATACAAGTGATCATCGGGAAGAGTTAGTGATTTGCATTCCAATATTGAAAATATGATTCAAAGTGCAGTGACAAAAATTATGAAAGATCTAAGCAAAAAACAAACTCCACAGAAAACTGTTAAGCCTATATATGTTTTTTATATAGTCAAAAAGGCCATATTGTGAAGAATTGTCTAAACTGAAATAAGAGTAATGGTCAAGCCAAGAAGAGTATAATATTTGATAATATTGATATATGTCTTGTAGAATATACAGAAAAAGGTTCTATGATTGGTAGTAAATATTTGAGAGTAAAATTACTAGATAAAAATAAATATGGTGATATTAGGGCATTTGGTAAAAAAAAAATTGATGATATAATCGAAGTTGTACAACCAACCGTAAAAAAGGAAAAATCCAAGATTCAAAATCAATAAATAAAAAACCAAGTTCATATGAAAACATGATATATATACCTTTTGCTAAACTCACTAATGAGCTTAATCTATTAAAGAAATTATCTAATATAGATATGACTCTTACTTTAGAACAGCTGTTCAAGCAGTCACCCAAGGCATGTTCAAAAGTAATAAAGATTTTAACTTGATAAAAAGGAAAGATACTGATGATCAATATATAAAAATTAGGATCATACATGGTATATTGAAGGATGATAGATCGAAACCAAATGAAGTCATCCTGTATAGATAGTTGAAATTAATAGCAACTTAGTAAAGGCTCTAATTGATCCTAGATCCTGTATAAATCTTATTCACAAGAAGTATTTCATAAAAAGAGAATTGGAATAGAGGCAAGTATATAGTAAAGTCAGATGGCTAATAACAGAGTTAGTTAGTTTGTAGGCTATATATCAAATATTGAAGTTAAGATAAAAGGTATCATAGTTCATCAAGGCTTCTATATAACAGAAATAGCCAGCTTTGATGTTCTGTTGGGTATACTGTGGAATGCTAGAGCACAATGTATTTTGGGCTTCAAGAGTACTGAATACTGGTATACAATCTTTTCTTCAATAAGATCTGCATCTTTTGTACTATCAACAGTGTCTAGAAGTTGAGTAAAAGAAGTACAAACTAGTGATTATAATGATGCTGATAGTGATGTTAAAAGTGATTATGAAGATGATGTAGATGATATGATGGCAATGAGAAGAATCGAAGTAGAAGACCTAGATATAAAAATAACAAAGGTTAGATATTAAATATTTTGAGTAAGGCAAAAAATAAGGAAAAGGTAAAGATGCATGAAATTCAGTCTGTAGAATATGAGGATTTGGATGAATTAGCATTTAGTAGTTAGATTAATTATTGGAATTGTAACAAGAAAAAAGATAATAGTTCAATTGAAAGAAAGGATGCTCTAGTTGTATCAAGACTAACAATGAAAAATAGTATTCTGATTAACCTATGGCCCAAGATTCAAAATAAACCAATTAAAAAATATTGTAATTAAATAGTTGATGATGAAAGTAGGTGATGTATTTGTATACAAATTAAAAGATATTAGTAAAACAAATTTGGTAGAATATGAAGTCAGAACTGGTAATGCCATTGTACTTTTGATATGACTATATCCAATTAAAATAAATAACCCTAAAACAAGGAAGATATTTGAAGACCATTTAAGAGAAATAGTCAAGTATAGTCTCTTGAAAAAAAGATTAGACAAATATGCTTATCATTGTTTTCTAGTACAGAAGAAAGAGGGTGGAACTAACAAAATAAGACCTGTCACTAATATAAAACCCCTTAACAAGTATATTATCAAGGATATCAACCTATTGCTAATAATTCAGAATATCTTGAAACAAATAGCTGGTCATAATTGGTATTCGTCAGTCAATGTTTTCAAAGGGTATTAGCAAATAGATATTAGTGAAAAGGATCATGACAAAGTGGCTGTAGCCACCTCTCTAGGAGTATTACACTATATGGTAATGTGTATAGGCCTAAAGAATGTGAACAAAATCTTTTAAAGGTTAATAGATTATTTGTTGAATGAAGAAAAGTAAAAAAATGTTGCTGCTGCATACCAAGATGATGTTGGAGTATAAATGAATAGGAGCATAGAGAAATATTTGGAGATATTCATTGAGTTAGCTGAGGTTTTAAAAAATGCAACTTTGATATTTGCTATGAAAAAGTATTATATTTTGTATAATAAACTTGAAATATATGAATAGGTAGTAAATAAGAAGGGAATTAAAATTAATACAAGAAGGGTTGAGAAAATTTGCAAATAGATGCCTCGTAATGTAAATAAAGTAAGGTTGTTCATAGTGTGTTAAATTATTATTGACAATTTGTTAAAAATTTCAGCCAAATTGCAAAACCACTAACTAATTTGATCAAGCACAACACTAAGTTCTGTTGGAACCAGAAGAGAATGAAGCATTTGGATTACTAAACAGAAATTAAGCAATGAAGTTGTTTTAAAAGTTTCAGACTAGTAGGTGGCAAAGGATAGATAAAGACTATATCATATATATACCAATATCTGTGATTATTTGGTAGATGTTGTGCTTGAACAAGAGGATAAAGAAGATCATTTAAGGCCTGTATCATTTGATTTGAGAAAGTTAAACAAGCATTAGCTGCACTATACTGTGACTGAAAAAGAATGCTTGGCAATTGTATTCAGTTGTCATGTAAATAAACGATATATTAGCAAAACTATATTTGAAGTATGAGTGGACTATCAGGCTCTAGAATAGTTGTTAACAAAGTTGAATTAAAGGGTAGACTAATTCAGTAAGTTTTGCTATTACAATTATTCGAATTTCGAGTTTGGTACAAGTCGGACAAGAAACATAATAATACCGATAGATCTTAACCCACCTTTTTAGGAGAATAAAACTAACGATGATTTTGTTAAAAGACTTTTGTATAGAGTAGGCTTTGAAAACCAAAAAATTAGTGACTTATTTTTAATAAAGTATTACTTGCAACAGTTGAGCTAAAAATCTCACATGAACTCACATAACTTATCATGTTTTAAAAGAAAATTGAAGCATTATTGCTTAATTAGTGACAACCTGTTTCTAAGATCGAGAAAAGGAGCCCCACCAAGGTGTATAGTATTAGATAACTGTGACAAATATGAAATTGTGATGGCTTGTCATCAAGAGGTAGTAAATGAAGGTAGACATTGAGGTATAAATAGAACTCTGATGTTGGAAAGATGAAATATACTTGGAGATCAGGAAACATGTATGATAGAACCCTAGATATATAGTACAAGATCATATGTTAAACATTTTAGCAAAATTTAGAAATTAAAAAATCAGTTTTTCACAATTATCTCAGTATCTAGTAGTCCAATTTGGATGAACTTTTTTTAAAATAAAAGCTCTTAGTGAGATGCATCTAACAAAAAAAGTTCATTCAATTCTGATTACTGGATCAAAAGTATTTAAGAAAATATAGTTTTTTAGTTTTTAGCAAATTCAGTTAAATTTGGCCAAAACTCAGTTATGATCTATATCAGAGATATCCAGAATACTTGTATGATAATATAAAAAAGATAGTATCAAGCTGTGAACAATGTTAAAGGTGTGTACCAAAATTGCTGCCTGAACCAATATATATAACTACAACAAGTTAGATCTTTAAAAAAGTATATATTGACTGTATAGAGCCTCTGCCTATACTGTAGTAAAGCATAAACATGTGGTGTTAGCAATTGAGAATTTGATTAGATATGTTGAAAGAAGAGCCCTAGTTAAAAAGAATGCTAAAAACATTGCCCAATTTATTTGGAAAGATATAATCTTATGCTATAGATATTTTATCATGTTAATATCAGACAGGAGACAAGTTCAAAAATACAATTATAGAAAAACTATTATCTCGGTTGAATATGATCAATATTTCATTGCTAGCTACTATCCTGGTCAAATAGTCATGCTAAATATATGATACAAAAGTTCACCAGAATTATTTAAAAATTGTGTACAGAGTAGCAAAATTGATAGTATGAATATATACAAAGTGTGATTGGGCTATAAATACAACTGTTAGTGACTTGGGTTATTTTCCTTTTCAATTGGTTTATTAAAGAAACACAATAATGCTAATCAAACTGGTGTCGTGGTGGTTAATTAAAGTATAAGATACTCTAAAATCTGGCCCAAATGGCTTGGTTCGTTAATTCGCACT